CATGCAAGCAAGGAACCATTGTGACACTCTGGAGTCTTGGCAGACCAAGGGGCAGTTGTCACACTGTGTGGCACCATGGAACCAAGGAGGCCATTGTGACACTTTAGGGCCCCATGGAACTAAGGATCCATGAACATTGCAGGACCCCATGGAACCAACGGTCCATTGGGACATTGTGGGGCCTCATGGAATCCTGGAGGCCATTCTGACAATTTGATGCCTCATTGAAACAAGGGGCTCTGCAGGGCCTCATGGGTCCAGTAGACCCCTGTGACACTGCAAGTCTTCATGGAAACAAGGGTCCATTGTGACACTGCAGCACCAAGGAGACCCCTGTGACACTGCCAGGCCTCATGGAAGCAAGGGACCATTGTGACACTGGAGCCCCATGGAAACAAGAGGCCTGTGTGACACATCTGGGCCTGATGGAACCAAGGATCCAATATGACACCACCACTGTGAAACTGCAGGGCCTCATGGAACAAGGGAACAGGGAACTGGTCTGGTTGGCTTGGTCTGACTGGTCCAACTGCCCTTGGCATGTCGAAGGTCTCTTCTCTTGTACCCCTGAAACCCTGGGGCTCTGGGCTTTCCTTCAATTGGAAAAGAACTGCCCTTCTCATTCAAGCATCCATGGCCAAAAAAGGATTCCGTCTCCAAAATTCCCAATATCCAGGGATTGTTCCCAGACAAAATCTGCCATTGCCAGCAAGTCTGGCTGACCTGGTCTTCCTGAAATTTCGGTCTCACCTGCCTTCAAAGACTGAGGCTCCACCCTTTCCTTCCTATGGAAAAGAACTATGTTTTTGCAAGTGCTCATGGCTAAAATTGGGATTCCACCTGCAAAAGTCCTATATCCATTGATTGCTTCTACACAAAAGCTGCCTGTCCAGCCAGGTCTGGCTGGCCTTGGCCTCCTGAGGGCTGGCTCTCACCTGTCTTCCAAGCACAGGGGCTCCATTCTTTCCTTTCTGTGGAAAAGAACTGGCCTTCTCCTCCAGGGAGAAATGGCTGAAATTGGGATTCCACATTCAAAATTTCCAATATCCAAGAGCTCCTCCAAGACAAAGCTGCCAGGACAGACAGACAGGCCTGGCCTTGGCCTCTGGTGACTGCAGTTCATCAGCTCCTGAAACACTGGGGCTGTGTGGTTTCCTTCCTGTGGGGATCATGGTGACACTGTGGGGCCTCGTGGTACCAAGGCCATCACTGTGGCTCTGCTGGGCCGTATGGTCCCAAGGGGCCAGTGTGAAGCAGCAGGGCTTTGTGGAACCAAGAGGCCATTGCTGCATTTCAGGGCCTCGTGGAACCAAAGGTCCGTTGTGATCCTGCAGGGCACCGTGGATCCATGGAGAGCATTGTGGAATTGCAAGGCCCCATGGAATCATGGAGAGCATTGTGACACTGTGGGGCCCCACGGAACCAAAGGGCCACTGTGACCCTGCACGGTCTCATGGAAGCACGGGGCCACACTGCAGAAGCAAGGAGAACATTGTGACACTGCAGGGCCTCATGGAACCAAGGGGAGATGGAACAGGTTTGGCTGGTTTGGCCTCCCAGGGGCCACTGAAAAGGTCCAGCTGATCTTAGAATGCTGAGGGCTGCCTCTCATCAGCCCCTGGAGAACTGGGACTCTGTGCTTTCCTTAATGTGGAAAAGAACCATCTGTCTTCCCAGGTTCTCACAGTCAAAACTGATGCTCCCTCTGAAAAATTCCCTATATGCAAGGGAATCCATGACAAAAGCTGCCAGGACAGAGAGCTCTGGCTGGCCTTGGCCTCTGTTGGTCACCTCTCATCTCAAGAAAGGCCTGAGGAAAGTATTTGAACAGGTTTGACTACAGGTTTGAACATCAATGGGTCTCTCATCCTCTAAAAAACTCAGCTGCTCTTCTGATCATATGTGTCTTTTGTTTCCTCAGTGTGTCTTATGCATGAAATATTATTTTCAGGTTCATAATATTATTCTTTTCACTCTACCAGTGTTATCTGACACAAAACACCTCCTCTAAATATGGATCCTGGTCACTGTACAAGCAAACACAAGAAAGAATCCAGCAGGAATGATTTGTCTGTGCTCCCATCTGTCCCATCTCCTCTGGAGCTGGAGGTGCAGCCCCAGCACTTGGCAGGGCTCAAGGGCTCACAAGCTCAGCTCCTACCCAGAGAACTTGCAGACCCTGGGCTGCTCTTCTTGGCCCCTGCACGCTCAGCCAGGCTGAGATGGACACTGATGGTTTCTGGGCCAGGCTCTCTGAGCCCAGCCCAGCTCCCTGCAAGCTCTGTCAGCTGCCCTGAGCTCTGGGCAGCACCAAGGGCCTCTCCCCAGCCCAGCCCAGCTGGCTCTGGCCCCACAGCTCTGCTCAGGCCAGGCTGCTCTGGGCACTGCCCCACGGCCTCAGCCCCTGGCAAGGGCACAGCAGCAGCTGCAGCTGCCACAGGACTCAGCCCCAGCATGGGGGAATGTGCCTGGCCAAGGGAAAGGAGGCTCCCTGGGTGCCCTGCTCTCCTCTGCAGGAGATGCTGAGAGCTCTGCAGCCCCTGCTGCCATCCCATCTGCCCAGGGCAGCACAAGAGCCGTGGCCTTGGGGCCCTCAAGAGCTGCTCCTGCTCCAGGCCCAGGGCCCATCCCAGAGCTGGGGCAGCCACAAAGCTGTGCCCATTTCTGTTCATTTCTGCTTTGATGAGGATGGATCCTCAGCACCTTGTAGGCGTGTGATAAATTTTACTTTTACAGAGGCCTCTTCTTTGTTGAGCTCTTCAGTTCAGGAATTCAGTGACAAAGGCTCATAAACATTTGTTCAAAACACCCAAACAAGAGAAGGCCGAGGGAATAATTCAAATCTTCAGTTCTTCTGTGCTTAATTAGACAAATTTAAGAAGTGTATTCAAAGTGAATCTACGATATTGAAAACAATGCAGACAGAATTATTTAGTCGTGTTTAGTTTTCTTTTCCTGTTTATAGATTGGTATCAGCAATCCCCAGTAGATATTGATCCCCAGCCCCTCCTCATGCAGTCTGAACAGATATGAAAATCAAGACCCTTCATGGCTGGCAATCAATCACATTTTGTCTCTACCCCCTCCCCACCATTTCCCTCATCCAACCCCTGTCACTCAGAGCAGCTGAGGAATGGAGTCACATCCAGGGGTGTTCCCAGGGCTCAGGATTGGGGCCAGGTCAGTGAAATCTCTTTATTGCTGATCTGGATGAGGCCATCGAGGGCACCCTCAGTCAGTTCCCAGGTGAGCCCAAGCTGGGTGGCAGTGTGGCTGTGCTGGAGGGCAGGAAGCTCTGCAGAGGGATCTGGCCAGGCTGGAGCCATTGGCCCAGGACAATGGGATGAGGTTCACCAAGGCCAAGGGCCACGTCCTGCCCTGGGCTCACAACCACCCCAAATCCCTGGCTGTGCCCTGCCCCTGATCCCCACAGCCTGTCCTGTTTCCTTCATCCCTGCACTGCCAGGGACTCTCTGGGACAAGGGAGCTCTGCTCTGGGGATGGAGGGAGGTGCAAGTGCCACCACTGGAGTGGGAGCCAGAACTCACCAGGTTTGTGTCCTTTGGCGGTCAGGAACTGGTGGGACTCAGAGCAGAGAAAGTTTCTCTTTATGGCCAACAGACCATGGTTGAACAGGACACAATTCAATAACAATCATGCTCTTCCCTGAGCCATGTGCATGGTCTCAGCAGCGTCTGACATGTCCACCATCCGCAAGTGATTTCCATACTAAAATATCTTTTAGAAAAATATGTTTCTGTGATAGATATAAACACAGTGAAGTTCTTGTATCAGGATGCCCATCCTGGAGTAGGGGCAAAGCAGCCTGAACAGTTCCTGATTTGCAAAGCTGTCAGTGGTACATGGAGAAGGGTTTCAGGCTGCTTTTGGTGTTGAGAAAATGCTGAAACCAGCCTGACTCATTTCATCTCCTCCTGTCCTGGCTGATCTCCCCTCTTTCCCCTCCCACCCATTGGCTTTTGTCTCCCCCCAGGCCCCCCGGTGAAGAGCCTGGCTCTGTGTTCTCCATCCCCTCCTGGCTGGCACTGCCAGGCTGGGATGAGGAGCCCCTCAGCCTTCCCTGCTCTGGGCTGGACCAGCCCAGCTCCCTCAGCCTCTGCTCACAGCCCAAGGGCTCCAGCCTCACCTTGGAGGCCCTTCCCAGGCCCTGCTCCAGCTGCCAGACATCTTTCCTGTCCTGGGACCCCAAACCAGGCCCCAGTGACCTGGATAATCCACATCCCGGATGTCCTGGTCACCCGGCCCTTGCCCCTTGTCCTCATGTCAGCTTTTGGGGTTGATCTTTAGGAACATCCTTGAGGGGGGCTGTGCCTTTAGGTGGGCTGGGGGGATTCCGGGGTAATGAAGCCTTAATTGGTCTTATCCTAGGGCAAGGTATTACAGCTCCAGAGCTCAGCCTCCAAGGGGACGGAGTGCCAGAGGCCAGCTCGCTTAGATCAAGGTCGCGGGTCAGCCCCTAGCAAGCAGGGGGATATTCAGCTCTTATAGTGATTAGCCAGCTTTTATGATTTCAGCTTTGCTTGCTAGGCAGCTTGCCCTTGGCTTGAGGCTTCAGCAGACGGAAAGAGAGGAGAAAGAAGAAGACACTGGCCATTCCACAAAGATGGCTTTATTGGAGGGGTCCGTGAAGGGTCTCAGCTCTTCTTCTTCTTCTTCTTCTAAGTTAGTAGGGGTACAATATGCTACTTTTATAGCCTTGGCCCCAATCCAATCTTGACCAATGGCAAAGGGTTAGAGGGACCATAAGTGACCAATAGTAGGGTTAACAAGATATTGACTTACATGGCTATAGGGATAGGTTATAGGGCAGATGTCCATGGAGTCAGGAAGCTTCTTTGCTGCTGTGTCTGCATTCCTATTGTTCAGATCCTTCATGGCTCCTTTGCTAAACCTGTGGTGTTTACTACACCAGGGGGACAGGGACCCTGCTGGGCATGAGCAGCATTGGACTTCTGGAGGGTGTTGGTTTTCTGGGCTGTTTAGATGGTCTGGGGAAAAAGCCCAAAGATGGCCTTGGGCCCCCGGGTTCGAAAGGACGAGAGGAAGCTTCAGATTTGTTCTCGGTCTCGGTGTTTATTAATTGCTTATCTAAAAGATTTTCTCTTGGCCTGACAGAGTTCTGCTCAGCAGTCAGCCATGGGCACACACTGAAAGCCCCTGGGGCGGTCACCTATCTTTATACCCGGAGTTACGTATACAATATTTATCATTTTTCTCCAATACCCTCTATCCTTATTAACCAGTGTTCCCCTAGTAAGGTCCAATCCTGGAGTGCCAACTCCACCACAGAAGATGGAGGCCTAGAGGAAGAAGAAGAAGGAGAAGGGCACGCCCCAGTACCTCCATCTTGCCTCTCTAGACCCCCCTGTACAGGGATCTTAAACCCTGTATCTCACACTCCAATTAACTTGTCCCTTCACCATTCACCCCAGTGAAATCCTCCCATCCTCATACTGATGTCATCTCCCATGTGGGATCAAAGTCCAGCCACCAGACATTTCTGGCAACATTCCAGGACTCCCGAGCCCCCCAGTTCTGAGAGACTGAGATCCCACATCTCCCCCTTCTGTTTGCACCAAAAGACCTTTTTCGCTTTTATGTGAAAACCCCCCAAAGTCCTTAGTTTCTTTTCATTTCTCTTCTGGGTTGTTTTTCGCAGCCCGAGTCTCGACTTCTGTCTGAGTACTCGTCTCTTTGTTTCTTGGATCAGCATTCTCGTGTTCTCGCGTTCGGAATGGCTTCACGTGCCGTGCCGATACCCACTTCAGACCTCGATCTGTGGAGATACAAGCGAAACCCTTTCCCCAAGTGATTAGTCTGAAAGGACCCTCTATTTGTCCGGTCTCTGGGTTCCTGATCAAAACTAAAGGATTTTCCCTTAGCTTTGCCTGTGTGCTGTTTAGAAAATGTCTCACGATCGGTGGATCAGGTTCCGAGGATGAGCTATTTAGGAAATTCAGCACATACAATGCCTTATTTAATTTCACGTGAGGTGTTGCCTCTGGCTCACCCCTTCTCTGTCTGTCCAGAAGGGATTTTAGGGTGTGATGTGTTCTCTCAATGATTGCCTGACCTGTGGGTGAATGCGGAATACCAAACGTGTGTCTGACACCCCATCTTTTCAGGAATCTGTCAAGCACCCTGCCTGTGTATGTTGGACCATTATCTGTTTTTATCTCCTGAGGCACACCTAATGCTGCAAATGCCTGCAGAAAGTGTCGGCAAGCATGGTCTGCTGTTTCCCCAGCATGTGCTGAAGCAAAGACTGCACCTGAGAATGTATCTACAGAAACATGAACATTTTTGAGCTTCCCAAAAGATGGGTATTTTGTGACATCAGCTTGCCACAACTGAAGACTTTGCAGCCCCCGCGGATTGATGGCCCCGGTAGAAGAAGGTGGCTGCACAAGCTGACAGTCTGGACAAGCACTAATGATCTCCCTCGCCTGACTCTTTGTGAGACGAAAGGACTCCATCAGTGCTTGCGCATTCTGATGAAAGAACGCATGACTTAACCTTGCCTGCTCAAAAATGTCCGGCAGTGTTTGCAAAATGGGCATTGTCAACCTGTCCGCCCGAGCATTCCCTTCCGCTAAAAACCCTGGAAGTGTTGTGTGCGCTCTAATGTGTGTGATAAAATACTCCCTTTCCCTGCTCTCTATCAGTGTTTTCAAGCTTGTCAGGTATGAGTATAAAACCTCATTACTGACTTCTTTCAAGAGCGAACCCTCCAATCTCTTGACCACACCCGCAACATATGCGGAATCTGTCACCAGATTGAGAGGCTGTTTGAACAACTGAAATGCTCGGACAACGGCTGCCAACTCCACAATTTGTGGAGAGCCCTGAACCATCCTCACGTCTGATTCCCAATCCCCTGTCGTTGAGTCTCTCCACGTGATCACTGACTTGTGTGCCTTCCCCGAGCCATCCGTGAACACGGTGATCCCGTCCAAAGGTTCTTCACTTATCTGTGGTTTTGCTCTATAGCATATTTGCGATTGCAGTATTCTGTGTTGGGGAAAGTGGATTGTGCAAGTTCCTGGGAACGCTAACAATGCGATTAATAGGTCTTTCGATTGTTGCATTGCCCAATCGAAGTAGTCTCGTTTCAGAGGTAACCTGATGACTGAGAATTCTCTTCCTGCCATTGTCAGCAGCCTTGTTCTCGCCTTTATGATGATTTGTGCTGCCATCTCCAGATCTGTGAGAATCGTTTTCGCGGGCCTGTGCGGTAGGAAAATCCACTCTATGATTATCAAAGAGTCCTTTTGCGATTCATCCCATTGGAAGATCAAACCATGGAACTGCGTTTTCTTCCCCAGCACTGCCAACTGAAAAGGCAACGATGGAACAAATCGATGTGCCTGCCTTTTCTGTATCGCGTCCGAGATTTTCTCCAATTCTTTTCTTGCTTCTGGTGTGAGTGTCCTGGGAGAACGAATGTCCGTGTCTCCTCTCAAGAGATCAAGCAGTGCTGGAATGTCGCTATTTGTGATTCCCAAAACTGGTCTCATCCAGTTGATTTCTCCCAAAAGCTGTTGCAAATCATGCAAATTGTTGACCTTTGTGCTGATCTCCACCTTTTGAGGCTTTATTGTTTTCTCTGAGATTTTCCACCCTAGATATTTCCAAGGTGCAACCTCTTGAATCTTTGAAATGCTGATTTCCAGACCTGCCTTTTGCACCCCTGCAATCACACAGTCACGAGCTTCTTGCAGCTCCTGTCGTGTTGATGCTGTGATGAGCAAATCATCCATGTAATGAATGATCTTCGCCTTCGGAAATTTCTTTCGTGCTGGTGCCAAAGCTCGCGCCACGTACCATTGACAGATCGTCGGAGAATTTTTCAGGCCTTGTGGAAGGCAGACCCAATGGTACCGCTGCAGAGGCGTTTCCCTGTTGATACTCGGGACTGAAAAGGCAAATCTCGGAGCATCATCTGGATGGAGTGGGATACTGAAAAAGCAATCCTTGAGGTCAATGACCACAAGCTGCCAATCTCTGGGAATCATCGAGACAGATGGAAGTCCCAACTGAAGTGGCCCCATGTCTTCTATGACTTCGTTGATCTTCCTGAGGTCGTGTAACAACCTCCACTTGCCCGACAGCTTTTTCTTGATGACAAACACCGGAGAATTCCAAGGGCTGTCTGTTGGCTTGATGTGTCCCTTCTGCAATTGTTCTTGGACCAGGTCTTTCAAAGCACTCAATTTTTTCCGCTCAAGGGGCCACTGATCCACCCAAACTGGATCATCTGTTTTCCATGTCAGCTTCAGTGTGGCGAGTGCTGCAGTGACCCCTATTAAAAATCCATTTCGATCTTCGCGCCCCATTGTGCCAAAAGGTCCCGACCCCAGACTGTGATCGGCTTTTGAACGACAAAAGGACGAATGATCGCCGTCTTATCTCCTGGTCCCGTGACAACGACGGAATTCTCACTTTGCAGACACAGAGATGCTCCCCCGATGCCTGAGAGAGAGCCCAATGGCGCGAACAAGCTCCAATTGCGTGGCCAAAAGATGTACGATATTACTGTTACATCCGCCCCTGTGTCGAGCATACCTCTGATCGATATTGTCCTGTCCCCACACGTCAATTGGCACGTGAGCGTGGGTCGGTCTCGACCTATGTGCTTCACCCATGTTGTATGTACTTCAACATGCTCTTTCATAGGGAGACCTTCTTCGTCGAAGATTGACATGACCTCTCCAACTGCGTGTGGTGGCAATGCGAAGGCTCTCGCAACCACAGTATTTTCCGGCACAGTCAATGGTGGACGAAGCGCTCTTGCCAAAACTGTTAACTCTGTATTTTTGTCTGCTGAGACAACTGTCGGATAGACAATGAGCCCAAGAATACTGCACTTATCTTGTCCAACTATCAAAAAATCTTGTTTCTTGTATGAGTCCCCGCGGATACCTGTTGGTATCTCCGCATGACTTTCATCTAGAAAGCATACTAGTTTTGAAGCTGCCAATGCACACTGTGCCCCTGGTGGGAGGAGGTCTGGGTCACTGTGGAATCGACTGAGGGTTTTGCTGAGGGCATCTGCTTGTCGCTCACTGATGACTGCCCTGTCTGTTCTTGTGACACCGCCAGTATTTGTGTCGGAGCGCGCCGGGGGTTTCCCGCGCTCAATTTCCCGTTTCCCGGATGCGGCAACGGATTTCCTTCCACATCTGTCCGGGAATAACATTCTTTCACAGAGTGTCTTCCTCTTCCGCACCGTGCGCAAATTGGTCTTTCCGCTCTCTGGGCTGGCGTTGGTATATGTGTCCGTGGGCAATTCCTTTTCATGTGCCCAGATTCCCCACATCCGTAGCACTGTCCTCCTTGGGGTCTGTTCCTTTTCTGCATTGCCGCAAGAACTTTGTTGATATTTTCGTCCTGTTGCTGGAGCAATTTCTCGAACATCTTCTCCAATGTCTTGTCCTCTGATTGCCCTTCTGAGCGTCCCTTTAGCTGTTTCTCCCATTCCTCTTTTAATTCATCCTTTACAATCGCTGCGACGTGCTGAGGCGTCCCCACCTTGCTGCATGCCTCCACCATCTCTGCCAAGGATGGCCGTCCTGGCATGGTGCTAATCACCCGTTGACAATCCGGGTTGGCATTGCCGAAAGCTAAATTCTCCAAGAGAGGCCTCTTCACTTCTTCTGTTGTCACCTGTCGATCCACGGCTTGCGTGAGTCGGTCGATGAATGACATGAATGGCTCTGTGGGACCTTGCCTGATGCAAGAGAACGGGACATCCGGAGCTCCTGTCGGCGTAATTTGCATGATTGCCAATCGCGCTGCTTCTTTGATGTCGCTTAACACTCTTCGTGGAAGCCGCGCTGCTTGTTCCCCTGGATTATCATCTGGAGGATCCCCTGCTAATTGCCCTTCTGTGAGGTTCGCATTCGGCCTACCTTGGTATCTGTTCCGCAACTCAGCAAGATATTTTCTCCACCTTTTTTCCCAGACAAGACTCTGTGTGTCAGTGAGG